CAGGATTCAGGAGTGAAGCTGCTGTGTGGTTTTCTGGAGAGTCCACACTGTAGACTGGAGACTCTGAGGTCAGTAGATGGGTTTGCTCTGTGTATATCAACTTTTTGCTCCATTTGAGACAATACTAACACTCACACACACACACACACACACACAGTGTGAAGTATATGTAGTTGTGTCTGATCTGCCACCAACAACAGGTGACGCTGCAACGTGTGTATGATGTCAGAAAATGATGTCTCTTTGTGTTCTGACTCAACCAGTAAGCAGGAGCATCAATAATACACACTGTATTTGTACAGGAAGGTACTAGGACTTGATGATTTCGCAGCAGTTTAACAATAGTCTTACAGAACACATTGCAACGTACATTACGGAACGGAGAATGACTACAGCTGCTGAGGCTGCTGGGTCAGCTGGCGAGTATGTTTTACTCCATTGACAGTTTATCTCAAAATGTGTCATTCCCAAAGTGATCCAGAGTGACCAGGGTCCAATTTTTTATCCCATATGTTTGGGCAAGCTTTTGATACTGTCAGATTGCTCTTCTGCTCGTCTCCTGTTCTCGCTGCTCTTTGTTTTCATCAAACCTTTATGCTGCAGGTAGATCTCAGCCAGGTGGGAGCAGGTGCTGTCTTGCTGCAGAATGATGACCAGTCTGTTTCTCCTCAAGAAAAGTTTAATAATTACCAGTGTAATTACTCTGTTAATGAGAAGGAGGCTTTGTCTCTCATTGTGGCTTTACAATGTATGAGCTAGACTGTCTGGAGCCACTTCGGTAGGCTAGTTCAGTGATTTGTTGCACTATCTTTAGGAATGTGCCAATGTATCTCAACAGAACACAACAAATAAACACAGTGATATAGGCAAACACTGTAGCACATAAACAGTTACACATCTGCTCAAGTTGAACACAAGGTGAGTTAATGCTAATTACAGCGTACGATATTAAACACTGCCACATTGGTAATTACTATGTTAGTAACATGAATCATGACATCAGGTATTTACATGATAGCTTACATCGTTACTGACGAACACTGTTGTACCAAAAGATTGATAGCAATTGCAGAGCGGACCAGCAGAGTGAGGGGAATTAACTATTTACACACAATAAAGTCTGTAGCTGGATGAGTGTTGTGCAGAAAGTGTCAGAGGCAGTAGAGCAGTGCTGTTCTGTGACACTGATCATCCTCCAGCAGGGAATATTATACAGCTCCTGAAGGACAAAGGTTGGAACCAGGTTACATTTCAGATTCAGAGAACTTTGCTCACATTTGATCCAGTTATAAAGAAGATTGAGGATGAAGTTCACAGTC